CCCCCTCCCCCCCCCCATTAAAAATGTCTTGATCTTTTATAATTAATTTTTTACAATCAACATGCATTTACAATCATGAATATATGATTCTCTCTTTTAATCTTCGCAACGGTAAAGGCGACATTCGTTTGGTATTAAAAAATTTCATATTATATTGTTATTATTACAATTGTTAGTTCTTTTGTTTCTCAATGATTTTTTCTATGAATAATTGAACGAGGAAAATTTAAAAAGACAATTTTTAAATATTTAATGAACTAACGTTATTTTATTTCAACCTCCGTTAAGTAATTAATCGAGTATCGTACGATAAAATTACGACGGTATATAAACAAAAAGTATATACAAGATGAACGAAACTAGTCCATCCACTATTCATGAAAAACAAAACTTTAATTAGGCATTTGAACATTTATAACGCTTAACGCAATAAATAATGCTTGAAATTGCTCTCTCACATTTTCGAACGTGATTAATATTAACTTTAATATCTAATTTGCTGTTTCATTCATTAGACTACATATCTAAAGTAACTATAATCTTTGCAGATAAGTCATTTTCATATTAATAAAACATTATCGTAACTTTGTGTCACACTTCAATAACGTAATTTAACAATGATAATGTTTTAATCGTCCAATAGATAATATGCTTGTAAAATTTATTGGAAAAAAATAAACTTATTTAGTATAATCGATATTCAATTTATCCTCTTCATCGACTAACGTAATTATCGGATATTCTTGAAAAGTGTAATATCACTTGGTCGCTTTCAATAATAATTTAGTAATAATAATTTTTATTCGTTACAAGGACTGTTATATTTATTACTAATTACGAATATCCAACAAAAATATTCAATATATTAATAAGCGAATGTCGATTATAAGTGTCAATATCACTAATCTTTCATTTATCGAGACTTTCGCTCAAAATTCGTCTCATTATTATCTACAATTATATATAGTTCGACTCGACTAGTCTCGATTCGAGTAAGAAAAAACGTTGCCTTACCACAAAGTATTTCACAAACATATGCATACCACCAACCACGTAGAAAATCAACGTTATCGCACGCGACGCACATACTTGTGTATGGGCGACGTGTACACACACGCGCGCGCGCGCGCGCACACACACACACACGCACACATTCGCGCGCGCGCGCGCACTTGGAGGCAAAGAGAAAAGGATGAAGAGGACAGGCGTACGTACATAGTGAACTTCGTCTTCATCACTCGACCACATTCGCCTAACGTCACGTTCAAATTCTTTAGCAATGTTCTTTATTCCTTTCACCGTCCGTCTTATTCCCCCTCCCCCATCCTCCCACCCACCCAACCTCTACGTATGTGCACGAGGGCAATTTTAGTTTCACGAATCATGCACCGACTCCTTAAATGTGAAAAAGAAAGTAAGACAATGAATTTATAATGCTGTACAATGAATATAACGCATCGTAAAAAATGTCGAATGAACGTACAACGTTTATTATTATTATATGCGCCAATTTTCTTTAGGGTTTATATGGGGTGGGGGTGGGGAGGAGGAGGCAAATAAAGCACCGAGTCGGCAAAAATCACGCCAACGCGCGTCATACGAATATTATACGCAGTTAATTGCTTGTGTAAGGCGGTTTCCCCAAGTTTGTTATTTTTGGACGTGAGAATCGGAAATTAGAGATTCGTTATAGAGACGCGCTTTTTTATTATTAACGATTAGTTTTAACGTTTGAAATTTAGTATTTCGTAATATATAGTGATAAGTTTGAATTTGCAACGTAAAGACAGAATGAAAGACTAAACGAAGCAATAAGTGAATATTTTATAATTAATAGGATTATCATGGATAAAAATAAAAATAAAAATAAAAATAAAAATAAAAATAAGAAGAAGAAAAAAATATAAAAGTAATAAATGGTAGCTTCGACGGCGTAGTAGGCATTGTTTGAAAATTCCAAATAAATTAATTTTTTATTTCATATGCTAAATAATGGGTAATATAGATGTTAAAAAGAAAAAGTAAATAGTTTTATATTATCGGATAATAGATGTCAGTGCGAAGGCATCAACACTTTTGTCATGTCAAACCCATACGTACTTTTCTATTTAATCTAAAGTATTCATATTAATTGACAAGACTTTCAATTTTGTATTCCAACATCTCAACGAGTTATTTCTATATTTAAATATTTTTCTCGCTGATAATTGTTCATTTATTTGTCATATCATGACTTTTTTTAACGATATTAAGTCACCAACTGGAAATATTCGTTCTACCGTTCTATCGCCGAGTAAAAGAAAATACCATACGACGACACTCTTTGATTTATTATTTCAATTAATCATTATGATAAACGCGTTTAAAACTTTAATTATATGTAAGAACATCCTTCTATCTTTTTATAAAACTACAAAATACGTGTTGGGCTCTTACTGTATGATGTTGTACTTCTAGAAGTGAACAAATAATCTATGACTAGTACGCAGCATTGATTCGCTGGGGACTTTGCCGATACAAGATTAACTGCATGTCGAAGATGAACGAAAATTCCATGCGATAGATTCAAATGAAATATCAGGCTTAAATAAAGAATAGCGACTTCTCTTAAGGACAACCGATAATTAACTCGTATAACTCTTCCACTGGTAAAGCACGGCAGACGTTAAATACGTGGTAAATACTGGCAAAGATAACGAGTAGCGGGCGAGGGAGGAGGAGGAGGAGGAGGAGGGATGGGAGGCAGCCACGTGGACGGGACTCGGTGTTTACGTACGTCATTCCGAGCAATAGTAGAGCGTTCGCGTTTTCGGTTTGGTCATGACTAAGTGAGAAGTCTCGTCGGATTCGAGGAAAACAAATATACAATCGATCAAGTAATAGCATCTTGCACAAGTGGATGCAAAATAATAGAAAAATTGGACCGAAATTGAACCTTGGGCTGAAATTACTCCAAGCATTGAAATTCGCGATACCATGAGATATTTTTTTGCATTCGACGAGGAGCGTACCCATTAAACTTCGTTAAGACCGTTTTACCGTTGATGTCTTAGTTTAAGTGAAGTCGGCTGGTACCTTGAAAATACACGAATTTGGCAGTATAAAATTTGTCAAATATTTACAAACCTTATTGCGTATTATTGCTCGCAAACCACTATGAATTTCAAATCTAATAAAAGCTCTCAATTGCAAAATATTTACAATCCACGCCAATGTTTAATATTTAAAATTTTGACATAATATTTTCTCACTAACTATATTATTTAGATAATAATTGTTTTATCTTTTTCTTTTATTAACTCCGTGTAATGCTTTTTTGCAATTTTTTTTTTTTTTTTTTTTGTAATTTCTGTTTTTACGTTTATTTCTTAGTCACGTTAATAGCAAGCAATACACTTCTTGTTAAAATTTATCAGTGAATTATAATAATTAATGCTGCAAGGGTCTAAAAATATTTATCCAGCACCAAATGAAAAAAATATAATGATATAAACATTATCGTATAGATTTGTTTTTTTTTCCAAAGGCCTCGAAGGAAAATTTATCATCTATTTAGCGAACGTGTTATACAATTTGAAATTGATTATTACTCACAGAAAAATGCAAGGAAACGTCATGTGAAATCAATTTGCTTCTATACGATGGTCGATGGTTATACAATAAAAGCCGCAAAACGATTCAATAACATACTTAAATACCACATTTTTATTCGAATTTTATAACCAACCCCATTTAATTAAATTTTAACTATAGTTATTAAATAGTTATGTTAATGATATACAATTGTTTACAGGCATAATTTAAAAAGTTTTTAAATACTCGATTGCGTATCGATTAAAAGTTTTTGTTAATTTTTATGCCTTCGAAGTGAAACTTCGAAATGGCTCATTACAGATTCTTCCTTATTAATTCAGATAATTCCATTATTTTCAATCGATGCAAGATCAAAATAAATATATTTCTCAATTTAATAATTGTAAACACGGAATTTTATTATTTCATCGTATTTGAATTAAAATCAACGATATGTCTTAAAGAACATTTAATTGCAGACATTTTGAATAAAAGAAGAACCGTAAAAATTACCTGCTTATACATTCATTTTTACAATTGACGTTATGCGTAATATTTAAAATTTTAACGTATCTGACAATAAGTTTACCTCTGACTGTGCGTTTTAAATCAAAAACTATTAAAAACTAGCATATTATAATAAAACGATAAAATTAACATTACCATAGTATACAATATAAGACCTAAGAAGACATTATATATATATATATATATATATATATATATATAATGTAAATAACTATAACTATTAATTTACCAATTTAATCTTAAAATAAACAACTTATTAAGATTACATCTGTTTCTGTGCGCGCGCGCACACACACACACACACTCTCTCTCTCTCTCTCTCTCTCTCTCTCTTTCTCTCTCTCTCTCACACAATATGGTTGATTTTTCCGTGCATTACAAATGTAAATCAAGCAATTTATATTATATTTCTTATACATTTAATTGTGCATAAAATTCATCGCGCACTTAATTTTTAAAAATATAAGAAATTTACGTCGGACGTATAATTTGTCTATATACTGAATAATTTTGTAATTATCTCATTATTAACGAAACATTTTCCAAAAACTACAAGAGCTTTATGTTTTATCTTTATTTCCTACCAGTACGAGTAGTAAAGCTCAAGTTCATTATCGTTCAACAATATGAACAAATTTTAATGGGGATAACTTTCAACGAACTTTTATTTCAATATTAAGGCATTGGCGTGTACGTAGGAGCAAATATATAAGCCCATTATATTAATGTATTATCATAAAATAATAAGGTCTATACTCTTTTATCGTCTTCAACGATCGAAGATTTTTACGCACAAAGGGAAACCCCATGAAATGGGTATTTATAATTGTCGAACTTTGAATAATCATACGATTACAGTATCATCTAGAAGAAACAAACAGACAACGTATTTGACTAACCTGTATGTGTCGTATGGCCGCGTGGAGTATAGACAAATTCGACGATTTCTTCTCGTCTTGCGAGGGCAACTGCTTCTTCAATAGTTCGAAGCACTCCTTGAGATGAGCCCGACGGTTCTTCTCAAGCTTGTTGTGCACTTCTCTCGTGCCCGATCGAATAACGCAGGGCCTGAAATGTAGGATAGGGGAACTTAAAAAATATCCGAGCCTAACTTCAATTTCCCGTTGTCTGTTGTCGCGTTCGGAGAAGTCGAATTATTTGGTCGTAGGCAAGCTCGGATGCCGACACGTTCCTACTATTATTGTTTAAGGAAACGGGGGTTTCGACTGAAAATTGGCCAACCGGTTAAACGCGTTCGACGCGAGACCCGAAATTATTAGTTCGTATTATCAATGTTCAATTTTCAACATTTGACTTACAATTCTCGGGTAAATCAACAAATATTAATGCCAAAAATTAATCGTCTAACTTGCTTGACGAAACAAATAAGTTTCAAGAATATTCAAGAATATTAAAAGAAATGCAAAAGAATATATATTGAATTGATTAAATATTAGTCCCGAAACTATAACGATATTTTCTTTTTATTTAACTTTATTCGTTTATATAATTCAATATACCTGACGATTAAATGAAAATCATTTCACATAGATATCTGTGCAAATTAAGCAATTGCATACTATGAACATATTGTTAAAATTCAATATTAATAATATATCATTAATTTTCAGAATCATTATTTCAAAAATATAAAAAAACTCGAAAACATAGAGATAGGAAAAAAAAAAAAAATAATTTTAAATTTACCATATTCCATACTACAGCTTTATACGGATCTTTTGAAAACGAATATTCGACTCTTACCATGTGAATGGCAAATTAGTTTCAGACAACCGAATAAGTAATTCCATTAAAAATACCATTTGATCGGCGTTGACTTTTTTTCTTCTGCTTTTTTTTTCTTCATCTTCATTTGATAAAATATCAAAAGGCGATTTTCGAACTCAATATGGGCCAACGGCAACATAAACTCTAATTATTTTTAGAATACGATACATATCTATCCGTTCTCTTACTACTTTCAAACTCGTCGAGAATTCTTCTCATTGGAATGCTTCGAGCACTTCCAATACGATAACCGAGTCGTTACTACAATATTGAAAAGTACCAAAAATTAAAGAGCCTGGCTAAAATCAGTAGCATCTTGAAATTTAGGTCAGCTTAAGACTGACCAAAATAATAGCGACGAAAATTTTTTTCAAGACGGTTAGTCATTTAAGCCATCTAGTCAGCATCTAAATCAATGTCAACGTTACTGTATATGTGTGCCTGACGACAGAAGGCAACAGAGCGAGACGTTAAAGGCTTACGGGCGCGTAACGCACGAGCCATCGTTCGAGCGATTAAATCATTGTGTAAGGCTGCGGCACTCACCCGTTGCGAGGCTTCTTATTGTCCTGTACTGTCTCGACGTCGACGAAGAGGGTTCCTCCACCACCGCCACCACCACCAACGCCAACGCTGCCGCCGCCACCACCACCACCACCACCGCCGCCGCTGCCGCCTCCGCCGCCGCCGCTACCACCACACCAACGCCAACGCTGCCGCCGCCACCACCACCACCACCACCGCCGCCGCTGCCGACTCCGCCGCCGCCGCTACCACCACCACCACCACCACCACCACCACCACCACCAGCACCAGCACCAGCACCAGCACCAGCACCAGCACCACTGACGACACCGCCACTGCCGCCGCCTGACGAGTTCTGGCTGTGATTCGAGTTGTGATTATCGAGGTACTGATTGTGCTGGGGCGCTGTACCCTCGTGGTTATTGTGATGTAGTTGGTGGTTGGCGGTGAGGGTGGTCAGGTGGCTGCTGCTGTTGGTCGAGGGCGGCGAGATACCGATCGAGGGACTGAGGCCGCCGCCCCCGCGCATCGCCAACACGTGTTGCTGTTGATGCTGCTGTTGATGTTGCTGCTGTTGTTGTTGCTGCTGTTGCTGCTGTTGCTGCTGTTGTTGCTGTTGCTGCTGTTGCTGGTGGTGATGGCTGTTGCCATTGGTGCGATTATTGCTATCCAGCGGCTCCTCCTCTGCACCGAGAACAAACGAACGCACATACAGAATTATACGCAATGTCGTGATCCGGCGAATCGTCGTCTCGCCTCTAACCGCACTTTCACCTCGCCATTTGAATGACAAATGCGAAATTACACTAATACGACTATCTTTCACTTCGCATCTCCACGGCGCGAATTTTTCTTCAAATCGAAGAAATTAGGTCACGCCGTGGAATTCCCCCGTCATTAAATGCCAAAATGACAATATTTAAGAGCTGGGCTATTAACGATCGTGGAGAAATTTTAATTATTGACGACATGCTTTGATAATGTTCAATCGTATAGCACGATTAAGCGTTTAAGATATTTACTGTTTATGCAAAAATTACGAATTTTTTTCGTAAAAACAGAATTTCACCGACAATTCTCTTCATTGTAATATTAAATCTATATTAAACGTACGGAAGCATCAGCTTCTAAATTAATTACAGGTTGTATATTATTATGATTATACTTAGTAAACGTTAAGTCGATTTAAAATTTTATCAATAAAAACACGTTTATTTCACGCGAATGAATTTACTTTTCTATTTAACGTAAAGCTTTAATAGACAAATTCATTGAATGATATGTGAACATATCGGAACAATTGCATTATTGATTATGAATTTTATCAAATATAGTATAGAGATTTAATCATAATTGATAACAAGCGTCAACCATAACGTCATCTACATAAATACAGAGCAAATTTTCACGGATCTAATTATCCTTGTTCTTCAAAATTTTGCTTCCTTTTTTAATTTTTAATCCTCTTATATTATCGTTTAATAATTTTACTTCAAGCCCGTTCCTTCTACGCTTATGTGATATTCAAATTTTTTCTCTCTTTTTTTTCTCTTTTTTTTTTTTAAATTTAGAAGATTTTAGATATAAAGTAAAATAGTATTTCTGATTGTTGAGTTTTGCAAAAAAGTACCAAAACGTCTAACAACCACGAGGTGTTTGGACACTCATCCTTACGTCATCCTTCAACTCTATTGAAATATTTATTTTACTTGGAACACAATGTTTCTACAATTATAACAAGACTAGAATGCCAAATGTGATTTAAGAACAAATTAAGTCCAAATAATGTTAGAAGTAAATAGCTAAGCAAGATGAGTAGCGAGTAAATGTTAAGCAAAAGTAAATAATAATACGTATTATACAATGGAATTGCGATAATCCGTAAAAAATAGTTAAAATAGTTTATTAAAAATATTAAAAATAGTTTACACGCAGAGAATCGATCGTTACTTTCTATTAATTTTTAATTACTGTTTTTCATCAATTATATTTTACAACTGTATTTGTTGTGCATATCGTTTTTGCACATTTATATTAACAATATTTTAATTAGTGATGTATATTTTTTATTATACTGCTCAACATATATTGTTATTCGTACAAATACTATTGTAAAATTATTAATCGAATACCGCAGTGTACCCACTTAACATCGATTGAACAAGTATGGCAATAATGTGTTGGCATCGAATAGTAAACCATTAGTCGCGTAAAGCTTTAGCCGATTTTCTTTAACCATACTTTTCCCTACTGATCGCGTTACTGTTCTACTTCTTTAAAATAATAAACACTGTTTTTTTTATCCCTTCCAACTTTTGTTGGTCTTCAGATCCCGCTTATTCCAGTTTGCAACGCCGTATGACCGTATTGCTGTCGCACAGCGTTATCTAAGATTAGCTCTTCTTCTTTCCTCCTCCCCCTTCCCTCCTCTGCCCTTCCGTCGTTCACTCGTACTCTAGAAGTAGCAACTCCACGCTCCGATTGTAGTGCAAATACCCATTGAGTACTTTCAGAAGGAAAAACGAGACAACCTTCGGCGTGAGCCGCGTGATCGAAAGGAAGGAAATGAGACGGAATAAAAACAGAATAAGAATAGAAAAAAATTTTTTAAAGGAGGAACGAGGGAGCGAGAGAAGAGGAAATATAACAAACCGTGCAATCGTTATATTATGGGCTTTAAGAAGGCTTTCCACGGATATTTAATTAGACACGTTTAATTTAAATGTTTCTTACAAGACATTCGTTTCATTTTTAGTAAATATATGAAAAATAATTATTATACATCTTTTTTCGTTAATTTTTCTCTCTCAATATCTTACATATATTTACCAAACACTTGTTTTGTTTTTTCCACATTACAATAACAACACTGTATCGTTCTAAAAATCAATTATATTTCTTGCAATTTGTTCTATAGAGAATAACATGTAACATATAAATAGATTTTTTTAAATCGCTAAATGGATTTATAGAAAAAATTTACGTACGTGCTTAGAAACCTTAATGCTAAAAGACAATATTCAAACTAATTTTCAAATTTTATCTTCATCTCGCAGCTTTAATTTAATATCGAAAAGAATATATTATTTGATATTCTTACCGAATAGATCCATGTATTTTTTTAGCATTTACAAGGTATCAAAATTTCTCAAAACAAATTTACATATTTCACTATATATATATATATATATATATATATATATATATATATATATATATATATATATATATATATATATATATATATATATATATAGCTGTACGTATAAAATATATACGTAAGAGCCATCTTATGTATAATCGAATACGCTTCAACTTCAAAATAACTTTGTATAAGCATTCGTACCAATGCATAAAATATAAATAGGGATGTATGTAGTCTTTTAAATCCCGTACTACGAAATTTAAAACAATCCATTACGATGACTGGAGGGAGAATTATACCTTATAAATTTTAAGGAAATCATTAATTAATAATTACAGCGCTATGCCAACAACTTTTCAAATGATAACGTAGAAGTCTCACAAATCGTTGAATATAAACTTATTCAAACTTATAATCAAAAGTAATTCGAACGCAAAATTTATTTGTAGTAAAATTATAATTATCAAACGAAAATACCACGCATATACTTCGAAATATGTCTAAAAATCTAATTATTATTATTATTGTTATTATTATTTTTTGCAGTGATGTTTTATCGAATAATAATGATCTAGAGAAACGCGACTGGGTATTTTCTTTTCATTCATTTTCTATTTCTACATGTGATATTTCCAAATATGTATTTTATATTCATTGATTGTCATATGCTCATATTCATTTTACCAATTAAATTATTGCATTCCAATGTTTTAAAGGTTCTGTCAAGGTCAGTTGAAAAATGCTCTATATAAATTATTCTGCAAATACTATGCCTTTACTTTTATATTATAAAAAATACTTTTTACTTGAATAATAATTTAAAGCTTAAATTATTACGCAGACTTAAATTGGCTATAACTTGTAGCTTCGGTCGAATGCAATTGCAAACTTGATTATGCTAAGAACTTTTTGTAAACTCTTTTAAAAAGTAGATACATAGACATATTTAACGGTATTAATCATTGTATAATATTGTATTGAAAGATCTATTATAAAAGATGGTATAATGATTTTTCAAGTACTCTGTCGATTCCTCGTTAATAAGACATTAACAATTTTTATTTGTAAAATAAAGAACATTTTGTGAATAGAGAATGGTCCTATTAACTAAATTATATAAAAAAAAAGAAAAAAAAAGTTCTTTTTCAGCAGTTATTTGAAGTACCAAAATTTGTTCGAATAACTAAAAATTGCGCGCATTTCGCCAATCTAATGGAGAAATCAATTTTTAATAAATACCAAACCACTGAGATTGCAAATAGTTTTTGAATATTAATAAAATTATAATACGACAGAATAAGAACGTGTATTTCTTCAATTGTATATCAATGTATTAAAAAAAATAAATAAATAAAAATACAGTCCGGCTAATAGAATTGACGACACCTTATTACGAATGTTTTAAATAATTTAATGAAATAATAATGAAAATGCAAATCATTCAAGTAATAACTTTTTTGTAATAAAATGACGTATATGAATTTGAGAGTTGTATTTATTCATTTTAAAGGGCATTTCAATTTATTGCAGCTGAACAGGATTACCATATAAAAAAAAAAAAAAAAAAAAAAAAAAAAAAAAAAAGAAGGAAGAAGAAGATTACATGTAATTTAATGTATTTCTCTTAATTTCTCGTAGAAAGCCACGGTACGCGTCCTTCCCAATAGTATTTTATATTTTATTTAATGTAGGATAAAATTCGAGATATTCAATTGAGCAAACACAATCATAAATCATATTAAAATACTAAGTCAATATCGAGCAAACATTTTATCAATCAAGAATTATTTCTTATCATTGACTGTTCGTATAACGTAAAAAGTTTATATTGAGTAACTGTTAGTTATACGCTAACTTTATTAGGGCAATTATTAGGCCAAAGGCTTTATTATTCAACTAGAGGAATATTTATTGGACATTTACTTGTTTCTGGGCGTCCGGATTCGTAATTCGAGGGACGTTAATTCATTGCAACGACACTGTGTAATGAGAGTAGCACGCGGGCCAAGCCGGCAATCATCTAAATATAAAATCAAAGGAGCCATGCAAGCGAAAAACGAAGGGCGAGAGTGGAGAGGAGAGGGGTGGGGAAATAAATAAGTCAAGTGGGGAGGAAAGAAAAAAGGCGAGAACGTATGAGAGCCGCCATTAACGCGTTCGGAGCAGAACCGAAAACGGAGGGAGGTGTGAGGTGTGAGGTGGGTGGTGGGAGGTGGGAGGGAGAGAGGGAGAGAGGGAGAGAGAGAGAGAGAGAGAGAGAGAGAGAGAGAGAATCAACGGCTAAGTTCGTCCCTGGCTACCGTGTAAATCAGGGCGGCACGTGTTAGCGCGACTCATTCATACCGACGACGGGACTCCGGCGATTCTATTTGCAAGAGTCCGGATGGAGGGCACAAGGTAGTCAGTGGATATCGGTAGGCGACTTTCAGCCCTCGAATTCCTAAGATAATCGCCCGTAGAGTGAATACCCAGCAGGGTCTCGTTATTCATTGAGATGGGCAATGAGCTCGAAACGGGTTTGAAAGTGCGTCCTTTTGAG